CGGCGGCGGACAACCGTGACCCAGCGAAGCGGTGGGATGCAGACCGGTCACTCCTTGCCGCTCTGGTAGACCGCTGGAGACCTGAGACGCACACGTTCCACCTTCCCTGTGGGGAGATGGCTCCGACACTGCAGGACGTGTCGTACCTGCTCGGGCTACCGCTGGCGGGAGCACCAGTTGGTCCCGTGGACGGTGTTTTTGGGTGGAAGGAGGATATCACTGCGCGCTTCGAGCAGGTGATGCGCCTTCCACACCTAGGACCGGCCAACACCCTTCCTCCGTGCTCTACAGTCGGGCCTAGCAAGGCTTGGTTGCTCCAGTTCACTGTAAGTAAATAAGTTGTTATTATCATACATGCTTATTTGCGATCAACAGAGTGTTTTGTACTAACATTTCATTCTTAATTGTAGGCGGACCTTCTGCACCCTGACGCTAATGATAACTCGGTCCGACGCTCCCTTGAGGCGTACCTGTTGTGGTTGTTCGGGTGGGTGATGTTCACTAGCACCCACGGGCACGCTGTGGACTTCCGGCTGGTCCACTACGCACGGTCCATCGCGGATGCTCAGCCACAGGACGTGCCGCAGTGGAGCTGGGGTTCTGCCGTGCTAGCAGCCACGTACCGTGCCCTCTGTGAGGCGTGCACGAAGACTGACGCGGGAGCGATCATCGCTGGCTGCCCTATGTTGCTTCAGCTTTGGGCAGCCGAGAGGTTTGCCATAGGTCGACCAGTGGTGGACAGCGCACCCTACGGGGTTGGTCGCAGCGCGCAGTGGCCAGAGGACGGTCCCACGATGGGGACTTACTGGTGTCGACGTGGGGTTAGTGCAACTTCGCTGCGTTATAAGTTTATCAGTCGTCTTCTTTTTTTTCTTCACATAACATGTCTAATTCCGATCATGTTTATTCCAGCGTCGTTACGCTCACGTCCAGGTGAGACGAGGTTACCCGGACTTCGTGTTCGAGTTTGACCGTCTCCAGCCGAGCGACGTCATTTGGGAGCCGTACACAGAAGAGGCCGTCGCTGCGAGAGCACCGCTAGGACTTTCGTCGTTGTGCACACGCGACCAGGCTTACTGGCTCACCATCCTGCCGATGGTGTTCGACATTTTCGTTGAGCCTCACTGCCCGCAGCGTGTGATGAGACAGTTCGGACTTAGGCAGGTGTTTCCGGGCAACGTGCAGCCGACCGTCCTCCATGTCGACCACTCGTGAGTTCGGATTGTTCATTTCTAAATTTTTATGATAATTACTTCATCGAGCCATATAATTTACCTCTCTTCACAGGTTGACTCGACGGGGACAGCTAGCAGGCGCACTTTGGGCTCCACGTGTACAGCAGTACGTTGACGACTGGGTGTTAGCTACAGAGGAGGCGATCAACGAGCTCTTCCCACACACGGAGGAGAACTACCGTGACTACCTTCGCTGGTACCTTCCTCGCACTCGTGCGCGTGTGACCTTCACTCCAGACGCCCCAGAGCCGCACGTTGCCGCTGTGACGGACGCGTATCCCACGCACCGTGACCGAGACTACTTCGTGGGGGTACGTCGAATTTGTATTAGTTCTTACAATTATTTCATTTATCTTGCATAATATAGGACAACTACTGAATTTTTTATTTCCATCTTGCATAGGCTGATGCTGCACGGGATATCAGTGCCGATATCACCGCAGTCCAAGTGAGGTTGAACAGAGGTTTGCACTTGACTGACGTTGAGCAGAGGATGACCTTCGACCGGATGCAGGAGAAGATGCGTGCGGTCATGCGCATCTTCTCCTGTCGCAGCGCCGTGGACGTCGTACCTCCAGCTGGTCCGGTACAACCACGGCCTCGCGCGCCTACCGTCGGAGCAGGACCTCGACCTACGGTACCTGTTTCGCACGGTACTGCTCAGCCCAGAGGTTTCTTAAGTTTTGTTTCTGTTTTTGTACAAAAACATCACCCCGTCGTAACTTGATGTTCCATTCTCGCAGGACCTCGTTTGCCTTCGAGCGCCCCTAGCTTCGGAGCAGTGCGACCTACAGCACCGGTTTCGCACGGTACAGTTCAGCCCAGAGATTAGTTCATTTTTGTTTCAGCTTTTGCACGAATATGTCACCATGTTTTAACGGCACGTTTCCTCATCGCAGGACCTCGTCTGCCTTCGAGCGCGTTCGCAGGCACGACCGGCGCTTCCGCGAGCTCCGCAGGGGCGTTCGCCACCTCTTCGGGCGCGTTCGCCAGCTCTTCCTCTCACGGAGCGTCGATCCCTCGCCCACACGGTACTTTACTTTTTATTAATACTATTAAATACCTGTATGAAACTGATGGTCCTTGTCCAGCAGGATTTGCAGCCGGGATCTTCGGTACTGGGGCCTCTTCGTCTCACGCCGGTAGGACTGGTCCTACTAGCCAGTTCTACGACGACAACTTGCACGGTGCACACCACCACGACGTACTAGGCTCCTCTCAGCTTGGAGGAGCTCCAGAGGCGCACACTCAGGAGCAGCCAGAGGTCACACCTGTACAGGCAGGACGGGTTGGCCGTGCCGTACCCCCGGACCGACTCACGTACTCCCAGGGGCACATTAGGGCGCAGGGTAGGAGGGACAGGGGTAAGAGGCCTCGTCAGTAGTGTTCTACCTCTTCAGTCCTTATGTGACCGTTTCTTTTGGCTTACAAACTTGTAAAGCAGTACTACTTTTGCTATTACTACTGCAGTACTACTTGTGTTTGTCTCGTCTACATAGTTCTTTTCGTTCATATGGTGCTAGAACAACTTATGCTCATGACAACACACTTTCGGCGCTTCACGGTAGTGTCAGATCCAGTAGCGCGCACAGTCCACAACAGCACACATGAAAAGCGGCAGCTCGAGTTGTCACTATCAACTTTCGGCGCTGCCTGTTGACATAAAGTGAATCACGCCCACGCGTGATCGTCTTGTCACATCTAATGAATAATGTATCTCATTGAGTTCACATATATTGCAGTGAAAACGACGCTATATAATTGACAATCTGAAGGCAACCTCTTCATATCTTCTTTCCCACTAGCACACAACACACGAAAATGGAAGCGCCATTCCTTGAGCGTCTCAACTGGCGAAGCGATCCTTTTGCTGGTTGGTTTCCACCATGGTGTGACCGTCCTTTGTGCGATAGTGGGGATAGATGCATACTCAAGTCTTCCCTCATGATACAAACTCGGGGCAGGAGATTCTTCCAATGCGCGAACTTTGATCAGGTATGCTTCATCTATTCGAAGTTCAAATGGATAAAAAAAAACTAACTTCTTCGTACACAATTGTAACATCTTACGCAGACATATCGTCCAATGTGCAACTTCATCGAGTGGGTAGACATGGAGAACCCACAAAACGACGGAACCCGTGCTTACCCACGTAGTGAAACAAGATCGGACTACCTAAGGTGGAAGGATGAGCATGAACGTCGAATTGCTGCTGAGGCTTTAGAATGGCACGTAAATCCCCTAGGACTCCCCATGTGGCGTGAGCGTCCGGAGTGTCGTTGTGGTGACCGTTGTCAGGTCATAAGGTCCGTAAGGCACCGAACTCGAGGACAAAGGTGTTTCGTGTGTCCAAACATTGTCGACGATGATTTCGTGGTAATTACAACTATTCTTTTCATCACTCCTCAGTACTATCATTAACTTAACTATCCCAAAATGGATGTACATAGGAGGATGTAAGGAAATGTCAATTCGTACAATGGATTGACACAGTCAGAGTTACTTCAAGTGGCGGGCCGATAACGCAACCTGAACCGACCATACAGTTCATTCATGCTTGGATGGAGTACGAACGTCGGGTGGAAATTGCAAGCTTAGACTGGAGGAACAATCCATTAGGGTTACCTAAATGGTCCGAGCGTCCAAAGTGTGGGTGCAGAGATCGCTGGCAGGTGGCTACATCCTTTGCTGAACAAACATTTTGAAGGAGATATTTTGTCTGCCCCAATGTAGACAACGATTTCGTTGTATGTCTAACCATTTACAAAATCCGCTATGATTTGCACAAAATTACTACCCAAACTGAATAACATTACTATTTTTACAGGGCAATCCAAGGATGGGTGGATTTACTCGATGGATCGACAATGTCACTCCATCATATCATGGCCAGAAGATAACAGAGTCAGAAACACAAGTAGAGTATCAACGATTGAAGGACCACGAGAATGCAATGCATTCTGACCGACCTAGAAGGTGCCGATAGGTTACCGCATGCTTGATTTGTCGAGATCGACAAATTTGTACCGTGTATCGATGGCACTTCTTATCTATTTTATCATTACAATGTTTAATTATGGTGGTGATTTTTTGTATGCGTAAGACTAAGGGCCTATTTGGATTGCTACCAAAAACATGCCCTACCTTACCAAATTTTGAATAGTACTTGTTTTTGATTTCGATTGAAGCCTATTCATTGGTAATACGTAATCTAGATTTGAGATTATGTAGAACATTCTTCACTACAATTTTACATTTTGGCAGCAAACCAAATATGATCAAATGCAATTTTACCTTACCAAATATTTGGTAGTGCCAAAACTTGCTTATATTTTGGCACTAACAAAATATTTGTACGGTAACATTCCAAATAGGCCCTAAAAAATAATAAAATTGTATTTTACCAGTCTTGGAGATTTTAATCTTGTATAGTTTTCAATATAAAAAGATTTGATAACTATTGATATTTATACAAAAATATAAAGCACAGTATAAATTCGCCCTCCCCCAGGGCGGCAAGGGGGCCGCCTGCAAAATTCCAGGCCCCCCGCCGCCCATTTGCAGGCGGCCCCCCGCACAGTACAAAATCGCCCTAGCGGAGGGCGGCAAGGGGGCCGCCTGCAAATTTCGTTGACGGCCGTCGCCCGAGAGCGAACGGCCGTCTGCCACGTCACTTTCGCCGCCCTCTGGGATGGCGATTTTTAAAAATCGCCCTCCCAGAGGGCGGTAGGCGACCACTTCTGTCAATTTTCAAAATGAAAATTATTTTTGTAAAACTTTTAATAAAAAAATTAAAAATAAAAAAAATTCACTATCAAGCTGTGTATACATCTGATGAGTCCTGTTACTTTCTCAAATGACTCGCAACTGAGACAAATTCTGTAAGTTCATATATATTACATCTCATGTTTCTCAAGGAAATTAACACAGTGGTCAATCATCTGGAACTTCAGCTTTCATGAAAATACACCATCATCGTCATCCAGCCACTGCTTACCGCTGTATGTCATCTCCCGGTCCTAGATCGTCGATCGCTGGGCGTTGTTTGTGGTGGTCAGTCACAGACTGGTACGCCATTGCCAGAGCTAGAGCCTGCTCCCCAATGCACGGATCAAAATGACAGGTCATCAACTCATCATCACTGTTCTTCATGTCAACACATAAAATGTTTATGTCCTGAGACGAGAAAGAACTTACAACGTGGTCATGGTCAGGAGGAGCGTATATGCCCGTCGTCACGGTGGTTCTTCTCCGCGTGCCGCCTTCTGGTGGGTTCTTGATGCTCTTCAAGCCTGTCGGCACCACAGCCACCGGCATCCCCACAAGGTTTCCAAGACAGACGAGCTCCCAGTCGGTCACATTGCCGATGAATGCATCGACCGTGAAGCTCTCCCTGACTTCTCTGATCAGTTTACCCCGTGCTCGTTGTGCCTGTTCATCGATCAAAGAACAAGAATATAAGTTATGGTGACTCGCGATCCTATAGACAGGTACACTCCTTCAGATATGGTTAGTAGAGCACCTGTATATAGTCGACTGCGGGGATTAACCGTGCGCGGCGAAGCTCCACTGGCCATTGGTCCTGAGCTTCATAGTCGTCGTCGTGTCGCTCGCGTTGCCAGTTGTCGAAATGCGCAAGCATGTCAACATCCATGGTGATGTTCAGTATGGATTGGACCGATTGAACGGTGTAGTTCAGCTTGAAAGGCACTAGCTTAACACCCTTAGCGGAAAGAACATGAACAACCTGTAGCAATGATCAAATCGAAGGATCAGATCAGGAATGGGTAACAGATAACCAGGCTGATGCACGTAAAAAAGCTCTCAATTACCTCCATCTCAGCACTGTCAAGATATCCAACAGTGAGTTGTCTGATGTCAACATGAAAGGGATCCTCGATAGCAACTTCACGAGATGATGGATCGCCGGCATCCTTGCCGCGAATTGCGTCAAGTACAACTGCGCAATCTATCGCGCTTCTGCAGAAAGGACCAAGTTTATCCTGCCATTTAGACCAAGATACTAATTGTTTAAAAGATTGATTTGGATATGACTGGGAAAGCGTAAGACTTTTGAATGGAAATACCAAGCTCTCTGAAATGCTCATGACGCCCGTCCGTGCAACTGTTCCAAATGTTGTGCGCAAAGCAGTTACTCCACATCTAGCGGCAGGATATGTTATGGAACCTGCAGTTTCTGAACCTATTGCAAAAGGAACCATTCCTAGTGCAATGAAAAAACTTCGCTGAGTACTTGACCATATATACTTCATCTCCTTACACATGTAAACATGTTGTATAAATTAACCTGCAGAGGTGCTAGCTGCTGGCCCTGCTGATGAACCAGTAGAAAACTCCTCAATGTTCCAGGGGTTTCTTGTTCTCCCCCCAAACCATATATCATCATAGGCGAGCGAGCCTGTTACAAGTTTTGCTACAAGGACTGCCCCAGTTGACTTCAATCTGAAGGAGGACGGCATACACATAAGGAGACGTAATTAGAATTGATCACATGACTCACACATAACTGAGAAGAAACAAACCTTTTGTAGACAGAGGCTTCGACATCAAGAATTTGGTTTTCAAAAGTTCTTGAGCCCCAGGTAGTTTTGTATTCTGGTACTGCAATTATATCCTTAAGGCCATACGGAATGCCATGTAAGGGACCTAATATCAATATTTGTCAATGCAATCTTTACTTTTGAGCATAATGTTTTATATGTAACACATTTTCTTCTAGTACGACTCACCTAAAGAGTACCCTACTAATGGTATAACTGAGAGATTTTTTAAAGGCAAACAAAGGAGAGAACTCCCCCTTTGTAACACACACATGGATTCAACTAAAAAAATACCAGTTGTTTAACATTTCGTTCCACAGGTTCTCAGGCTAATAAAAGTGATTGCATCGCAAAATATGAAGCTTCAATGGTGCATAATAATAAAAAAATGTAGGGTAATTTCCACGAGCATCAATTATGACAGGAAGCTGCTATGGCCATAATATATTACCAACAAAAGGAGAGAAACAAGATCAAGACTAGATTGTATTGCAGTAACAGATATATCACTGAGCATTTCAAGAAGATTTACTGCATACCAAGATATTTTCCTTGCTCCAGCAAGTCATCAGCTTCTTTCGCTTGTTTGTATGCTAAATCATCAGTGATAGTAATAACGGATTCGATTATAGGACCATACCTATAAACATACAAGGAGTTACATGATTAAAAACAATACTTCTGAGCCTCTCATAAGTCCATCTGAAAGACTGAAACAAATGAGGAAGACAGAAAAAGGGGTCTAACCTCTTTAATCTCCTTAAGAACACAGCAGTAAGTTCACGCGATGTGACTTGCTTTGTCCTTATAAGCTCCCCGAGCTCAATTATCTGATATGAAGATCAGAAGTTTGAAATAAATATATATGAAGTTTGTAACCAATGTATAATAACAATTGTTAAAAAATAAACTGACCGACATAAAAGCAATATCTTCATCTTTACTAGGGCGATGTACTGAAGATGTATGGGGATATTGAAAGCTTTTGTTCTCACTGATTTTGCTTTCATCGCTCCATGATGATTTAAAGACCAATGCAGACGGGTTATGCAATCCACCATTCTCTAACGCCACCAATTTCCGGTTGTCTCTAAATGCAGGTACATTAAATTCTTTTGCACCATCTTCCATCTCCCGAAGCTAACAGAACAGATAGAAGTGTAGATAAAAAAGATATTAATGCAACTACTTGGTTGTGAAAACTTCAAATAACATTTTGATAGTACTTTTGAATCGTTGAAAAAATCAGCATCGAAGTACTTCATGGAAGCCTTCAATGCAATCACACCAGTAATTGGTTCTTTTCTGGAAACATCTTTTGCAGAAACAGCCTCCTTTGTATCCTGAAAATGAACAGACAAATTGCTAAAAAAAAAATTGTCGCAATGAAAATAAACTGAATATTAAAAGGAGAGCAATCTTGCCTTCCAGATCTTGTGGTATTTGGAAACAAGAGTATATGAATGGCTCTTCCCACAGGTTGGCCAGGGTAACCATGTGCATTTTGTTGGCCACGCCTGTGTTTAAAACAAAAGCAAATAAATAACCATAGTAATAATTTGCAACCTAATAATCTATACAATTGACATTTGGCAAAGTGAATCCCTTAAGAACTAAGTAACAGGAAAAGATGCAGAGTTAAGAAAAAAAATCAGGAGTTCATATGAATATGAATAACTAGTTCTGGGCTTCTGGCCAAAGGCCATTCCTGAACACCTCTATGCCATTAGTCAAACAATAGTCTCGAAAGATCACACACCTAGTCAGAAATTCCAGCACACAAGTGAAATTAAATAATTAATCTACTTGGTAGGTAAAGCCACCTATCTTAGTCAGATTATCACTGTCCTCACAGCCCACCGTTTTCTTTGACCGACAGGATCATAGAGGTAAACCCAAAACTAGGACAGCCAAAAGTTCAGAGAAGAACACTGAATACCGATCCTCAGGTGGTGGGGATGCAAAGCTAGCTAGAGGAATCCAAGAAGAGGGGGAGGCGATACGGTATACGAGCGCGTACCATGTCGGCGATGCTCCTCGCGACGCCGCCGCCGCCGGTTCTTGGCGGTGCTCCTGCTCCTGCTCCCGGTGCGGCGGCAGAGGAGGAGAGGAGAGAGACGAGGAGGAGGTGGGGGAGGGGGAGGGGGAGGAGAGGGCGACGTGGCTCCCGCATGGCTGACACCTGGCGGGAAGGCGGGGAGGGAGACAACGAGGGATTTGGTTGCAGGAGGAGAAGAGCAGAGTGGAGAAGACGAAAGGGTTTCATGACTTCATGCTTGGTTGATGATTGTACATTTGTACTACTACTACTACTCCACGAGTCTCTCGCTTTCTCCTTGTTTGTTTATTTTGTTGGAGATTTGGGGTTTGATTTTGTCGCATCTTATATTGCGTGGGTGACAGTTTGTTTATGATTCACTAAGAGGCATAATCCTATTGAAAACCATGGTCCTATTGATTTTTTTTTGACCTTTTTAATTTTTAATTTTATTAGTATTCATTTCCATTTTTCAAAAAAAAACTGAGCGTCGTTTAGCCACGCCAGCACAGAGTTATTTGGCCACGCCAAAAGGTTTAGATTTGAAAATATTTTTTTAAATGACTATTAATAAAATTAAAAAAATTAAAAAAAAAATTGATCATATTATACTTTCGATATCCTGTAAAACATTTTTTTATAGAAAGCTACAATTATTTTTTTTGTTAAAATTATCGGCTATTGGCTAGGCGTTTTAGATAACTACAAACAATAGCATATGATTTTATTATAAAACATAACTTATATCGTTTATTACAAAAGGGATCCATTTGTCCTGCACGTATGCAATGTGTCGGAGGGATAAGCTCCAACTGTCATGGGAAACCACGATCTTGGATCGTGGAGGGGTTTAAGGCATTCAAACATGCTCGGGAGTAAAGGACGCGAACAAGTACTCCTATATATGTTTATATGTTTGGACCTCCTGAAAGATGATACCCTATTCCTATTTGATAAAAATGTCCATATAAAGTTAGGAGCTCTCAAGCTAGCAAACCTAGTTCATGTTGATTATTGAAAAACTAACCCCTTCTAATCAGTTTTGATTGGGCTTTTATACCCACCATCTCTCACTATTAGCCGAGAGAAATGATATACTGTTGTAACATATTCATGTCGAAAATAAGTGAAATAGTAAGGAGAGAGAATATGAACAGACGACTAAATTGTCGTCGGCCCTCCAAGACGAGCCAAAGCTACTGCATCTAATTTCTCCCTGCATGTGACTTGTGATTGGATGGTGAGCTTCCCAAGACAACATGCAGCAGCAGCAATTGGATTACGCATGCAAGCAAAATGTGATCATATTATAGTAGTACATCTTATTATTGTACAAAATAATTTTAACTCAAACCGTATTTGAGGCGGCATGTTTTAGAGTTATCAGCTGGCTGTATCATTGAACTTGCTCTTAGCCTATTTTCTAACCTTTGAGCTTCGAGCCAGTTTCAGTCGCCTATGCAGCCTTTCTATGGGACTCCACACCGAATCCACCTATAAAGGCTCATTGTTTTCACCGTAGTCTCAATGACACTAACTTCGTTATCTTTATGGAGCTTTCTAAAATAGTGTATCGCTTTGATCAAGTAAATTAGTGCTTAAAGGGCTTGTTCGGTTGCTTAGTACAACGGCTGCTAGGCAACCCAAGGCAGCTGATCGCAAGTTGTTTTGCTGCATCTACAAGCAGCTGCTTGGCTGCTAAGAAGGGCGAACAAACCAGTATGTAGTTTTGTACTTTTGTTGACTTAAACAGCAAAGTGATTAGTATTGTGATAGGTTTTCTACTGTTTAGATTATTATATACTTGTAATAAATATGTACTTGGCTTGCACATTTTTAATATCCTTTGTTCTAAGAGGCAATCACAAATTTGCCAATGGTTTGAATCGTTATTACAATACTGCCGCTAGAAAATTGCAAAAATATCACCAGAACTGATACTCAAGTGGCATTCTTACAAAATTAAAAAAACCAATGGCAAATTTGTAAAATGCCCTTTTTTTCTAAAAATAGAAGCAAACTAAAAATTTTTAAAACCCACAATAGAAGCAAAATAAAAAAATTAAAACCCACATGGAATCCACATGACACTGAAACAATATATTCCACCTTGTTTATCTATCTCTCCCATCATTTGGTCTTGGTAGCGGTGGTTGTGGTGGAGGTGCGCGGGTAGTTAGGAGGTGAGGAGACACTAACTAGTGTGCGATGTGCCCGGCTGGCGGCAGAGGAGGCCCAGTAGTCGGCGGAGACGCGCCTACAATCCAGGAGTCGATGTCACCCGCTCTTCCCACCATCGTGAGGGCTTGCTCATAGTGCCGCTTCTTGCACCAGCAAGCAGTAGAAGACACCACGGGGAGCGGTGTAGACTGGCAGAAGTAGTGGTTGTGCCGGTTGCGAAGCGGCGCATAGATTTGGAGGCTAGGTGGAGTATGGCAGGAGCGGAGGAGGCCCGCGGTACCAAGGCAATGCCATGCTCCCTAGACCTCCCTGCTTTCATCGAGCCCGCGCTTCCCCTCATCGCATTGCTGACGACAATGACTCCTAGCTTCCATCTCTCTCCTTTCTCCCCCTATCTTTCCCTCTCTGTTCTCTCCTATCTTCTTGGTGTTGAGGCCTGAGGCACTCACGATGGTGTGATGACAACCTATGAGGATTGGACTAGCAGCGACCGACCTGAGCTTCCACATCTCCACCACCGGTCAGGCTCGATGGTGTAGCCGCCACCGCCACCCAACTCCTCTTCGTTGGTCGCCTCCCTTCTCCTCATCAGTCGCGTGGCTTGGAGGTTTGGACAGAGATGGGAGGAGATAGGGGGAGAGAGGGAAGAAGACTTGTTTCACTGATATGTGGGATCTACATACCTTTTTACTTTATGTTTTTATTTTTTCCTCTGGTGCTTTGGGACTATATTTGTATCGGTTTTAAAAGATGAAAGGATGCGTTATATATATGGTATTGCGGTTTAAACTCGACTTTAAGATAAGGAACCTAAAGTGAACTTATTCAAAGAAAAGGGAAAACATACCGTAACATTGGGGGGCGCCTAGCTGGCGCGTATGCGCCGCTAGCGCGCACCTTCCCCATCTAACCACCTATACTAGTATTAGTTAACATTACTTAACACTAATAACAATAATTAGGAAAGATTTTAAAGATTTTTTTGGAGATATTTTTACTAACAGATTGAAAATTTTTCAAGTTAGAAACTTTCGATTTAAGATTTAAATTTTAAAGTTAAATTTTGAAGACATTCAACTCAGATTTGAAAACATTCAACTCAGATTTAAAAACATTCAACTCAGATTCGAAAACTTTCAAGTCCAGATTTAAAAGTTTTGAAAACTTTCAACTCAGATTCGAAAACTTTTAACTCGAGATTCGAAAACATTCAAGTCCAAATTTTAAAATTTTGAAACTTTCAACTTGAGATTTGAAAATTTTAAAGTTAAGATTTAAAAATTACAAAAATAGGAAACTAATATAAACTAATTACGATTTTTTTTATTCGTACGGCAAGGAAAAACAAACGGTGAAAAAAAAATGAAAAAAGAAGAAACGCGGGCGTAAAAAAAAAGAAAAAAAAAGAGAGAAGCGCAAGCGCACGTGCATGGGACTTGTGGGCCGGCGTGCGCGCCGGAAACGCTCACACGCGAATTAGCCTTTCCGGTAACATTGCAGCCTATGACAAATCGTTCATGGGCCGATTCATCGTAGGCCCAACTGACCCATTCCAGTCCGGGCCCACCTCCACTCCCCGAGGGATAAACACCACGTGTTCACACTCGCCCCACCCCCCGAGGGACAGCCTGGCACAACTCCCCACCGTCCGATCCAGATCCGACCGCTCACATCGCCCCAGCCACGTCACCTCCACCTCCACCTCCACCTCCACGCGGCCACGTGTCCCCCGCCTCCCCAAACTTTTTGGGAAGATGGCATTTGCGAGAGAAGATGGCAAATAGTAAAAAATCCCCGCTTCTCCTCCTCCCATCTCGCCGCACGCCGCCGCCAATAAAACGACGCGACGCGGCGCGGCGCGGCGCGACCCGATGCGACGCGACGCGGCGAGGAGAGGGAGACGAGCTGAGCAGCGGCGACATGGCGAGGGGGAGCAGGAGGAAGGGGTGGGCGCGCGGGGCGGTGGCGTTCGCGGCGGTGGCGGCGGCGGTGGCGGTGGGGAGGCGGTACGGGTGGGACGGGGAGGCGGCGGTGGCGGCGTTCCGGGGGCGGAGGGACGCGCTGGGCCCCTGGGCGGCGCCCGCGTACGTCGCGGCGCACGCGCTCACGCTGGCGCTGTGCCCGCCCTACGCCATCCTGTTCGAGGGCGCCGCGGCGCTCCTCTTCGGCTTCCTCCCGGGTGTCGCCTGCGTCTTCTCCGCCAAGGTGCTCGGCGCCTCGCTCTCCTTCTGGATCGGGAGGTACGGGACGAGTTCCTCCTCCTCCTCTTTCTTCGCTTCCGTTTCGGTTGCTCGTAGCGCTCGTGGTGGATGTTGAGCAGGGATTTGTAGACGTCGAGATCTAGACATACCGTGTTCAGTTCGTGCGTGCCCTGATTTGATTCCTGTTTCGCACGATCGAGAAGATCTGACAAGAATTGTGATGAGAGTCGTATGATCGGAGATGGGTTGGAGGAAAAAAAATAGGCTGGCATTTGTGCTTTCTCGTGTCCTTCGAGGAGGAACGTTGCGAGATTCTTTGCTTGTCTGTGTAGAATTGTTGGAATTTTTTTGCTTTATATGGAATCTGGTTATGATGTTAGAGAAATACTGCGGCCGAAGGAAGACTGATTTGTTTGCACTTTTTTTTGGGGTGAAAGGTGGTTGGTAGGTTCAAGAACTGAAAATTGCAAATAAAATTGGAAACTCTCATCCTTAGTCTGTTAAACTGTATAAGAATATATAAATTCAGGAGCTGCTGGGATGAAAAGCTAATCAGCTATGCAATCTTGTGTGTACAAGCGTACTTTTGTACACTGGTGATAGTTAATGGAGTAGTAATGCTAAGTGAACTTGAACATGAGATTCAGGAGGACAATTTAATGGTTTTGGGAACAGAAACCAAGAGTACGCTGTAACTTAGCATATGGCCCATTGATTGATTCTGGTTGAAATTTCCTGTTTGGAACAAAGGAGTTCCATTGAAATGCTAGGGGATATGGCCTGTTCTGTTCCCAGGATACATTGTCATTTATCTTTGATATCATACGATATCTTTGATATCATATGTTTAGTTGCACCTTGTTTATAACTACAGAACAATACTAGGTTGATACTTTAATCTTTGATATCATACATCTTTGGTAAGATTAAATAAGAAAATGGATCCTTTGTGATATAAACATGTGATTGTCACACGTAACTTTAATTAGAATAAACCTTTGTGGTGAGGAGGCCTCTAATTTGGCAGCCCAACATCTGAGAGCTCTCCCGATCAACATACCTTTAGCGATGATGCTGGTTACATACTGTCACAATTATATTGTTGCCATGCTATGTATAAATGATGGATCAATGCTTATTGTTTATAATACTAACTTTTTAGTCATATTGCACTTGATTGGTTTGTATAATTGAATTTTTTCATAATCAAATTCTGAATCATTGCGCTCCAATATTGCTTACATCATTCCTTCAAACAATCCAATAAACAATTACTTAGAAAACGGCTCCAATTGAACATGTTAATTCTGAGTAAGTTAATAAACTAACCAAACCTGAAAGTTATCTTAACCATAGATAGTAGAGGTCAGGTTGGTTGTTGAGCAGCCTGAAGAGCTACAACTTCACGGAAAGGACCTTGAGAGGTATAACTGCAGCTTGCCTAAGAACTTTCAAATATATGTAGTGCTGGCAAAGTTCCACCTTTTTTGGTAACTTTGTGGCTGCTCATAGACATGAGAGAAGCAAACTATCTCTCACTAAGGCAATGAATGCGATTAGTATCGAAGAGCCACCCTGTCAAGGAGCAAGTCAAGCAAAAAAAACAAAGGGTTAAAAGTCCCAAATGAACAAGTTTAAGACAAGAAGCGGAAGAATTTTTCCCTGATCAACTCTACGCGGTCATGCTGACCATATTAAGGTTGTGTTTACAAAAGGTTACAAATAATTCGCAGAATATGTTCCCTTACAATTCCAATAGCCCCCTTCTTGTTCTGGGAAAAGTTCTTACCCTTATTTTTCTTAACCTTGTGGTCCATCTGGCACTTGTAAGCCTTGTTTTGCTTCACTTGCTCCTTGGCATCTATAGCTGCTGTCATCTCAGTGATCTCTTCGATACTAATCGCATCCATTAGCTTAGTGAGAGATACCTGCTTCTGTCAATTGGCATCTATGAGCAGCCACAAAATCACTCAAGATGGTGGCAACTTTGCCAACACAACACATGTATGAATGCTCTCCAGAAGGCTGCAGTCATACTGTCAAGGTCCTCCCCATGGAGTTGTATCTCTTCAAGTTGCTCCAAGACCGACCTGCCCTCTACTAAATTATACTTAAGATAACTTTCAGATATGGTTAGTTTACTATGTTCAATTGAACCATTTTAAAGAGAGTTGTTTGGATAGTTTTAGAGGAATGCTGATGAAGCAATATTTGAGCATATTAAATTCAGAATTTGATTACATACATGAAAAAAAATCCAAATTGTATAAACCAAGGAAGTAAAAGAGACAAGAACTTCTGCTGCCTTATAAACAAATAAGCACTGATATTATTTATACAACTAGCATGGCAACAATATAATTGTGATAACACATAACAAGTATTACTACAGGTTATGTTGATTGGGAGGGCTATTGGTAGCTAGGGGAAATCCTCGCAGGTTCCTTTAGCTCCATGTGTTTGGCCTTTGAGGCCAGCTCGGCCCAATGGCCTAAAGCAGCCCAAAGGGCCTCATGTCAGAAATCCCGATGGATCGGTGGATAGAACTTTAAACAAACACAAAACACATACTATAGATGATTCGAAAAACAAGGATGAATTTTTCTGTTTACAACCAGAATTAACCGCCTAGAGCGATTTTCACGTTGTGCCTAATGCCACGTCCATCCCCACAACGCATGTCGTTTGTCTCAATCATGGTGAGAGATGCGGGCAGCCATGAGCTAGCCTCGAATGCCCTCCACCAAAACTAACATGCACGACATCTACACAATCTACACATCTACGCACGACATCTCATCGAGATGAATGACGTGCGCCATGGGGATGGACGCGGCATTAAGCGTGGTTTGAGAATCACTCTAGGCCGTTATTTCCTTGTAAGAATCTGGCTTTAAATGCAGCACAAAAGTTCTTCCTTGTTTTTTGGATCATCTACAGTTCGCGTGTGCTGTGTTTGTTCGAAGTTTTATCCGTCGATCCATCGGGATTTCTGATAGGGAGCAATACCACCCACATGAAGTGGCTGTAGTTGTCGACGGTCAGAAGGAAGTATATGCTGTTTGTTTATTGCCATAACATTTAGCACTAACATGATTTTTGCAGCAAATCCAGACATTCTCATGTTTTGCGAAGTACGTAAACTTTTTCGGGTTCACTTGTTCCTCTGTCCATGGAAGTTGAATAGCCCATTATGGACATTTTTGACACTTTTGCTTTTTATTTGGATCAATAAATGAGGTCAAATTTCAGCTAATAAGAAATAATAATCTCTTTACTCTAGCCCATCCTAATCACACTATGCAGGAATCTAGACATCTAGATATAAGGCCCACTATATGTTGATAACTTGATATTATGATCTGCTTTATTTTGCAGATTGATCATCAATATGTCCTGGATACTTTTTTTTTTCTGGTTAAACAAAGAAAGTAAAATCCCATTTTACATGTTTTGAATAAGTGAACTTGGCAACTAAAAATTAGTGTTATAGTTTGCTTTGTGATGCCATGCAAGTGGGTTCTTGCAGTTATGCTGGTTCCATATTGAATATTGATACAGTTAAAAGTGGCCATGCAGTCAGCATCTTCAATTATACTGATGCTCTTTCAGGCACAATAACATCATTACGTCAACCCGTCTAGTGTATAACGCTGTAATGGGATTTGGATGTACATCCTATTATTTGTCCTGGATCACAATTTTTTTACCTAGATAAAGAAAGTAATTTCCCCATCTTTGTGTGGTTAGGTAAATTGTTTTATAGGTCAGTTCATTTCTCAGTTGTCCATCATCTTCTATATGGCTGTACCCATGGGTTTGTGCTGTTATCATTCATGCATCATATATTTTCCCTTGCAATATTGTTTTTAAAATACTTACTATTTCTTGGTTAGTACCTTTAGTCTTGGCTCTCTTTGCTAATGTATCTTCTTAAAATTTTCAGGGCAATTTTCAGACTCTTTACTTCAGCAATGGATTGGCTAAAGAGTAACAAGTACTTCCATATTGTGGTTAAAGGGGTTGAACGTGATGGCTGGAAATTTGTGCTACTTGCTAGATTCTCTCCTCTACCTTCCTACATAATTAACTATGCTCTATCTGCCACCGACGTTGGATTTTTCAAAGATTTTCTACTTCCCACAGTTGTTGGCTGCTTACCGATGATCCTACAGAATGTTTCTATTGTTAGCCTTGCTGGTGCTGCAGTTGCCTCAACCACAGGATCTGAGAAGTCTCGGATATACTCCTACTTGTTTCCAGTACTTGGTATCATGTCTAGCATTCTCATTTCGTGGAGGATTAAGCAATATTCTTCTGCCCTTGTTATTCCTGAAGAGCTTAAAAATTCATCTACTAATGGAAAGGCTAATGTGGATGACAAGGCAGTGTCTGAAAATACCAACTCTGGGGAAACTAGGAAAAGGAGGTGACCATCACAATTTCTTGCATATTACTGTGAGGAGCTACTACGAATTATCAAACATTTAGAGTAGATGCAGATCAAGATTATTCCACATTGGTCAATGACTATAGTAAACTATGTTGTCTGTTTCATGCCATTGTTTTGGGGGCATTTAGCAGATGCGCAGTCAGCTACTGTCTTGTTTCTGCCATCAAGCTTTTCTTTTTCTGACACATGCAGATGTTTCACCTTGCAAACATGGTAGAAGTTCATATGCTGTACATCTAAGTTGGGTAGTTACGGTGGTCTAGGATTTTCTTGTTAAATTATATCTAAGGAAACCGGTTTTGATTTCCTTCCCTACTTGTACTGAACCCATATATGACTTGGTAGAATTCAGTGTTCTAATGGACCAGAATTCAGAACTGTTTCTGCTGTTGCAATGTAGAACAGCTGTATCACACCTTTTTATATATATATACTCTTCTTTAGCCACAATCCAAAGCAAATTATGCAGTGAACTCCAAGAATGTTGCACAGGATACTCAGTCTTCTGACTTTGGTTGCACTCCTGTCTCAACACAGTATTTAACCCATGTTCTGCTTCACTGTATTTTTGTCCAACAATTCCATGACATGAAGCTCTCCACTGTCCTGTGTTGTTACCTTCTTCTCCTTGGTCTCTTTGCTCCAGAAATCATATCAGATAGCCCTCCTCTTCAGGATGTATGCCCTATGGCACCCCAGGGTGAGAGGAAACTCTTCATGAATGGTTTCTTCTGCAAGAGCCCAAGCACCATAATGGCCTCTGATTTCAAGACATTGCTGCTCAACCATGCCGGGGACCTGGACAACATGGTCCGGTCATCGGCGAACATCATCACCGCCACCGAGTTCCCTGGCCTGAACACCCTTGGCATTTCAATGGCGCGGACCGACATCGCGGTCAGCGGGGCGGTGCTTCCCCATTCCCACCCAAGAGCTTCAGAGATGATGTTTGTTCACAGTGGAAGTGTGGTGGCAGGCTTCTTTGACACCAAGGGGAAGCTGTTTCAGAAGACCCTTGCTGAGGGGGATGTCTTCATCTTCCCCAGAGGTCTGGTCCATTTCATCATGAACTATGGTTTTGGCCTTGCGACAACTTTTTCGGTACTCAACAGTCAGAACCCTGGTGTTGTTGGGATCACCCATGCGATGTTTGCGCCAGATTCAGAGGTAGCTGAAGGGCTGATGGCCAGGATGTTGAGTTTCAGAGATATGGGAATGGATGACAGTAGTAGTGTTGATTCACCATGGTTTTACTGATCATATTGGGTTATTCAATATAGTAGTAGATACAACATGGATGAAATTGCTAGATGGATGATGTTTTCTAGTTTCTATCTGACGATTTCAGTCAGTTTGGTGTATAACAGTGTTTGTACTATGTGATGCAGTTGATTCATTTCTCTAGCTGTTGTGGTCCTGAGTATGAAAGATCAGCATCTCACCACACAAGGATTAAGACCAAAATTTTTTATATATTATCCCCCTACAGGTGGCTAAAACATAGATCTTATGCCTTATCTCTATCTGTCTGCCATCTCATTTGTTCTTCACAACTTGTGAAGGCAATTGGGCGCGATGGGTACAGGTAGTGCCTACCCATACCCATGCCCATGAGATTATCTGTGCCCGTGGGTATACCCATTACTACATGACAGGTAAGAATGATTGCTCATGCCCATTGCCCGCGGGCGCCTTATGCCCGCGGGCGTGCCCGTTTACCCGCCACAACAAAAGCAGCTGACAAAAAGTCTACAAGCTTCTAAGTTCGAATCGAACTTAAAACATCAAATATTCTCCGCCTCGGTGTCGTGTCTCTCCTCTGGCGGCGATAGAGTAAGGGGAGAGAAATAATAAGGGAAATAAAAGGGAAATTGTAAAAAACAAAGAACGTGGCTTATGTTTCTAGTGGATTTTGCTCCTAGCCTACATGTAAGTTCGATTTCGCAGGTAAATGGGCAAAGCAGGCATGGGTAGTGATTACCCATACCCATGCCCATTTACCCATCGGGCATAGCTTTTGACCCAATAAGATACTCATGGGTATAAAATGGAGAACAAACCCAACCCTAATGGGGTTTTTACCCACGGGTAAACGGTCAAACGGGCACAATTGCCATCACTATTCACTCACAAGCCCAATTGCAGTGTCCAGTCTGATGTCAATTGTGACGTGAAAAGTGCGTCAAGCAACAGCCAAGCCATCCTCCTTGCTTCATCATCACCAGGCAAGTTTGGCATGCTCTGGACAAGTAGCCTTCCTTTGCCTTTTGCTTTACTCGGTGGAACTCAACACCATTTGTTTAGTGTAATTAGTACTGCCTTTTGCTTCTTGAAAGTGAGGAGCTTCTCTTTCTTTTTCCATGCCTTCCTTTTCACCCTTGAAAACTCCTCTCTCTGATTAAGCCAGGCAACTTGGGCACCTGGCTAGTTATATACTCCATCCATCTATTTCAAAATATAAGGCATATTTTATTTCGTTAGGACCAATAATAACTTTGTTATAGTATAATTTTGTGATATGAAATAGAATTTATTATATTCGTATTTAAAAATATTTAGTTATGTGCTTTTAATAACATAAATAATATCCCAATAGAGTAATAATTGTTGGTTAAGCCTCGTCATAACGAGATAAAATATACCTTACATTTGTAACAGAGGAAGTATATGCCACACACTGCTTTGTGAGATGGTGCTGTAACTGATGTTGTTAATCATTGAGGGTCACTGTGCTATATTGCTGATTTGCTGCCACACATGAATGTGTGGATAACTTGTTAGGTGATCAATTGTCTTGGGAGATAGAAGATAACATCAATTTTGAGTCCCTCATGTTCTTGTCAAGCGATTTATTTTTAATTTCTGTTTGATCAGTTACAGTAAAAGTGGGTCTTGTGTGGAAGGTGGTCACCTGGAGAAACTTGTGGACTTCATGTCTCTGCTTTTCATTTTAGTAGATGACTTGGTTCCTCCATCTTTTTCAGGGATGAATTCTTCATCATTGACATCTTGGGGTGCAAATTTTGGAGGATTTTGAAACGTCGGTTTTGCTTCCAGGACATATTTCCTCGCTGATAGTGATTTTCCATGATTAATGGCTTTTCTTGTTTTCACAAGCAAAAAATTGAGGAAGATTGAAATGAAGACCGTAGTATTAAATAATATATATTGATCAAGAATTAAACAACAGAAGACCAGATTATTGAAGAGCTTACTAATTAAATGATGGATGAGAAACATTTCTAGGCTTGACCAACTCTCCAAAGATCAACCAAAGGTGTGCAATTTTTTTTCTCTTAAGTAGTAAGAATGGAAAGCACATTAAAACATAAAATATTGAACCTAAGTGTTATTTTTAATAAAAATATTTTAAATAAAAAAATATGATTGATGTTCAGGAACTAGCAGTCTCCAAGTTGATCCTGCAAACAGGAATTTGTCAGTTTATATGTGGTTCTGTCGTAATTGCTATAGAATCATCAACATCGTTATTAATGTAAATACAGTCAGAGTACGCTACTTCGCATTGCAATAATTTATTTATTAAAAATACGCAAGATTTGGATTAGTCAAGTACTTGGTTTTCCCACAAAGTCAAGCTGAAACTTCTTTATCATGAGATTTAGATGGCAAAAGGAGTATGATACTACATAATCTTGACCAAGATAACTGTATATGAAAAATATGTTTCATTATCTGATCTCGGTAATAAACAACTAAAAAATTGACATCAAGTTTGGATTATCCGGCACACTTGGCAGAATTTGAGACAATTTTTTCTTGGGAGAATTTGAGACAAGTTCATAACCGGATCAGGATCAGATAGAATAGTTGTTGAAATAGTTAAATGGAACTAAAGTTAAAAAAAAAAGCTCAGATTTTTATTGTTCAACAGTGCATTTACAGCCATGAATTGCAAAAAGTATTATTTTGCGTAATCCCCTCTTTATCATGCACTTCACAGAATACAATGGAATAAAATTGAAGGAACAGAAAGAACAGATATTCCAAAAAGTAAAAACCAAAGACAACTACTCTAGTTGCTATGTGGGCCAGGAGGGTACCATCATGCTCATCATCTTCTAGAACCCTAATATGTTGGCAGTGCTCATTGGTTGTGGACATAGGACATGAGGTTGTTCTTGTTTGTTGGTCACCACCATGTGCAGTGCTCCAATATCAGGTGTGTTCTTCAGGTCCGCAATTCAGTACCAGCCACAAAAAGTGCAATTTCTTTCTTGCAATGGGCATGATTTTTCTTGTTCTTGGCCAAACATTTGTGATATTTTTGACCTGATTAGGCCTCCATGAAACTCTCTACATGTTACTAGATACAAACTGATTTTATCAAATTGGCTACTCTAAGTATTACAAAGTATTATCTGGGAGAAGATCTGTACAAAGGGGGGCATTGGATTATTCTTCCAGAGCAAAAAACCGATGAAATTATCTGGCCAAGCCTGGCCACAATCAAGCAATACCTACTTTGATCTAATCCCTCTACATTTCCAATATGTATGTCATCATACTTGTCATATGTATAGAACTTTGTATGTACTAAACATGGCCGTGCGAAAACTTTGGTTTTGATTCCAGATAACTAGAAATTCTCCTTGTGGAAGTCGAATTTCGTGCTCGTCTTTCTCGAGAAATCTTGAGCGAGCTCACGCAGTTCCTTCGTCAGCACCGGCGCGCCACAGTAGAACACCCCTGTAATGTCAAAGAAGAATCAAATTTAGTGTAAAAATTCAGAATTCCAATAGTGCATGAAGACATGATAGGATTGGATTGAGATGATAGCATCATGCCTGATAATGATACAGTTAGGTAAGGGAGCACTTCTTGAAAACATGGCACAGGCATATCTTGGGAATCTTTTTGTGCATATGAACTGAACTTTATGGGTGAAGAATTTTAGGATACCTGACTATGTATTGTTTAATGTATAGCTCGAGCCTAAAGGGACTGTATGCCAAGCGGTTGTAACTATCATCAAGTAACAATGATTGGTCAATCCATAAATTATATAGTACTAATATGATTCCTATTCAACCTAACAAACTTCTCCCCAATCCACAAACTAAGTGCATAAATAAACAAATCTCAAAAGTCTGATGTTGCTAATGCTATGCATGTATTGCTTGTCAAAAGCTTCGACGAAGAAGTATTTAGTATTCCTTTACTTATTAGCTGAAACTACCAGGAAGCACTAACTTCTATTTTTTTTAGAGAAAAAATGTTACTCAACATTCATTGCAATCTAATTATCAGTGACAACTAACAGTGATTGATCTGTCCCCATTCCCTAATCTCACCAGCAGGTTCCTGTTCAACCTTGATAACTGCTGCACCCAGTCCATCACTACTTCCAATTGAACACTCAACCTCAAAACTCTGATCATGCTTGTCCCCATCAGCTAGATCCCCAGAAGCAACTTATGCCAACCCCAATGCAGCTCAAAACCAGCTCAGCCTACTATATCAAGAAGTCTAATTTCCCAAAGCATGTAGTATAGATTTAAAATTTCCCCTACTCGCTCGAAAAAAAAATTATCGGTTGGGGATTAAAAAATAAAAATATCCCGACCCGACTTTTCACAGTCTTCAATATGCAAATTTGATTTAAAACTTGTAAAGTCTCTAACCCGGCATTTTACGGTTTTCAAGATGCAATTTTAATTGAAACCCAATTTTTTACGGTTTTCGAGATGCGACTCTGATCGAAACTTAACGGAATGTTGGGAGAACTAGACAACAACAACAACAACGATGATGATGATGACGACGACGATGATGGTGGTGGTGGTGGAGCTTACCGACGCGTTGGTCGCGGTGGTTGAGGGCGATGCGCTTGTAGACGTTGCGCCAGTTGGGGCGGGCGAAGTGGGTCTTGACGCGGGTGCCGGAGACGACGTCGACGCCGTGCTTGGCGTGGTTGAGCGACTGGAGCATAGCGATGAGCGCCGACCGGGCGTCCCCTTCCTCGTACACGCTGGTGCAGTAGTTGTGCAGCTCGATCACCCCCTTCTTGTCCGTCTCCGCCACCTCGTCCATCACCCCCCGGAACCACTCGAACGACCCCTGCTCCCGCGTCACCCAGTAGAAGTAGGCGCGCCGCGTCTTGAACGCCGCCGACGACGACGACACCGAGTTATCGTTGCCGTCGCCGTCCTCGAGGTCGCCGTCCAGCTGCCTCATGTTGTTTATGATGTCCTTGATGATGGAGATCATCGGGGTGGCGCCGATCCCGAGGCCGACGAGGAGGACGATGTCGTACTGCTTGTAGTCCTGCGCCGGTGCGCCGTACGGCCCGTCGATAAGCACCTTGGGGAAGCTGCAGTAGGAAAAAAAATTGATTTTCTTAAAATTTTATTAATTAAGCTAAATTATTACCATATTATGATATTATCTTTGATTAATTTTGATAAGGAAATTGAAATGGTACGGTTTTGTAGACGGATACTTCACTGTTGTTCAGCTAGAAAAAAAATGGGAATCTTTAGTCCTACATTTTACA